ATCAGACACTTTTTGATAAAGTTGCGTGGATATCCGTTTTGTTGGAAGATGTTGTACAGGTGGTCTATTTGCTTTTTCTGCTGTTCTGGGTTGCTGCAGCGCATTTGTGCTCATTTGAATAATGTTCTTACACAGCTCCTCTTGTGGGAGGCTGGGTTGTTACTTTGGTGATGGAGTACTGGATTAGTGTGGGTTGTCTTCCGATAGACCTGGGTTTCTAATTTGCTGTTATTTCCTCACCCTTCCTGGATATTCCCATTCTAGCACTGAAGATGTTACCTAGCCAAGTAACAAAATGATTGCAAGAAAACAGCCAACCTCAGAGAACCCCAAGGATTCCACAGTTCAACCCTGAGCTACACATATTTGCCTCTGCTGGCAGACTGCGTTTTATGCAGGCCTGGTTAAAAGAATGAATAGAAAACTATGAAGCCACTAGCATACTTTTTATTGTCCTGCAACAATAGTCTCAAAAACCACTTTTCGTAAAACATAAGGCTGATCTATAGATGCAGGGCAATTACTCAAGGAAGTCTTTTACCAATAGAGTACACAAGTTACGACGTAGGCTAAGATTAAACTGTTACACTGTCATACTGTTGTACTTCAACTGCCACTTGGTTATAAGTGGTATAAATCCTGCCATTTGATTTGGACTCCCAGCTTTGGGTGGGACTAGTTATTCTAGTTGAGGCATGAGGGGAAATATTCAACTAGTCCAGCAGTCTGTTCTTACAGGGCCAATCAACTGCCCAAAGAAGCCCACAAATTTCTCAGTAGGTGACCTTCAGAGGCAGTCACACTACCATCAAGGCTAACAGCCATTGTTCTCCATGACGTTCATGAATTGGTCCAATCCTTTTTTGAAGCCAGCCAAGCTGGTAGCCAGCACCACATCTTGTGCTAGTGAATTCCAAAGTTTATGTAGTATTGTGTAAAAAAATATTTCCTTTTGTCTATCCTGATTCTTCCAGGATTCAGTTTCATTGGACGACCAATTTCACTGGTATTTGGGGAAGGAAAAAACAGCTTCTCCTTCTCCACTTTATCTACACCATACATAATTTTGTACACCTCAAATTGTGTCCCTTCTAATTCGCCTTTCATGACCAAAAAGCTCTAAACGATGCAACTCTTCCTTATAGGGAAGCCACTGCAGCCCCTTGATGGTCTTAGTTGCCCTCTTCTGAACCTTCTCTAGCTCTACTATAATTTTCAATTATCTCTATGACCAGGGGTAAACTATTACAGAAACTGCATTTCTGCAATACCTGAAGAGCCATGTTCTTCAGGTTCCCATGTTACGGAATAGACTAGGTGAAGCTCTCCAAATGTTGTCCTCAGCCAGCAAAGCCAGTAGTCAGAATCTATTGAAGTTATGAATCTTGAGGTTACCTGCCCATATATTGTGAAGTAAAATATTTAGCTTCATATACAGTTCACCCTTAATAGAATGTATATTTTTTGTGACCAAAATGTCTTTCACCCCTGAAATGGGCTGAAAAACGTTGTATTGATCTGTAACTATTTACAAATCTATATTACTGGAAGGAAGGAATTGCTTATCATTACTTATTTTCAGAGAACAGAATTCCGAGCACAATTCTGAGCTTATAAAAATTAGAGCGATGGGCAGAGTTATCATTTGTGCCTTTCAGAACAAGAGTGGGCAGCTCATGGAAAGAAGATGGCTCATAGATCCCCCCCCCTTTTTTCCCCCTCCTAAAACTGACTCTGTTGAATTTGGATAGAAAACGGTTGAAAATATTAATTCTCCCTCAAATACACTGGAAATTCTGATGTTACCACAACTGTACCCATTAGCCAAATTAAACAAAATAATTTCAAAACTGCATCCTCTGGGCACTGAAAAATAGCCCACGCCTGCTTTAAGAGGTGAGCAGAGATCTGTCTGCTGCCCAGTAACCTTTGCATTCATTTCTTCAGCAGTTTACCTGTGCAGGTATCGATCTGGCAACCTTAAGTCTCAGCAGCATTTGACAAAAGACACGAATTTCAATAGGGCTTTTGTTTGCCTAAATATGTGGGATTTCACCTAGCAGAAATGTTATAGTATTATTGCTACCAGTGTGAACCTGACTGTTTTTAGTGGAAAATGTATCTATCATAGAGGTAGTCCTCAGGAATATGTCATGAGATTCTATACTATCTGGGCTTTTGGAATAGGATTATTTGCTTTGCTTTTTGCCTTTTTTTTTTCTTTTTTGCACTGCTGTGTGTAACGCACCATGTTGATAGACAAGTTCTTTAAGTGTCGTAGCCCTTGGTGGCAGAAGCAACAGCAACAATGTCTTCTCTTCTTCTACAGAAATTTATTCCAAAATGGAGGTTTCGCCCTTGCATTAAATTCAAGTCTTTGCGCCTTAATATCTAATAACTCAATTAGGAATGTCCTGAATGTCACGCAGAGTCGTTACTCAACAGCTGCATCCATGTTCTTATTGCCATTCATCTCAACTACAGTTGCGTATGAGGCCACAGTAAAAAGCTCTTTGATGGCAGGTATGATGGCAGTTCATCCAAGTAACTCAATAATCTTTTAAATGTCTGTAATAACTATTCTGATATTTCTATCATGGCACAGTCTTACCCTCATTAAGCCAAACTGGATTCCATCCTCTTTGCTAAACGGTGTGTCTCTCTAATAAATAACCATAATTGGTGGTGGTACTGGAATTGGTTATTAAAGCTTGTTTCTTTTCAACTGTGCCACATAAAAAGAGCCCCCATTTTATAAAACAGTATGTAATAGTTAAGTAAGATCCTGGTACTTATTGCTCCAGACTAAGATAACATTTATGCCATTGTATTTTAAAGTTACAGTTAATTCCATTTTTTATGAGTTTCTTTTTTCCATTCACTTTCCCAAAATGATTTCCAAATACTTAACCTTTTATCATGCTTGGTTAGGGTGCTGGAATGCACTCATGGTTTCAACGCTTCTATTTTTATGTTATTTTTTAAGGCTACCCAACGAGAGAGAGATTCTGGGGAGCTTACAATATTTCAAATACAGAACTTAAAAACACAGTTAGAAATACAACCACCCAGACAAAATAGTAAAATTCAAAAAGACTTGACAAGGGCTCCACATCCTAATCCTAGGGCAGGACACAGAGTGATGTCTTAAGAGACTTGAAACGTCCTGAATGCTAAGAGAGTGGACACTATACGCATCTCTGGGGAATGCTGTCTCTAATAAATAACCAGGGGCTGCGACAAAGAAGGCATGCTTCCTCAGTCTCATAAGATGACAGCTTTTAACCGAGTGGACCTGGAATACACCCACTCTGCCTGTGTCCTGTGTGGGCAGAAACAACTGGACGCAGACGGTCCTGCAAACAGCCAGGCCCTATTGCATGAAATTCTGTCTAGATGACGACTAGCCCCTTGAACCGCCCCGGGAGGGCACTTGCCAACCACGGCAGCTGGCCCAGCAGCTGTGACACA